CTCACCTCATCCTCCAGATGGTTCATGGCTGAGTCTGGGTGGGGAGGAGGATGCAGGACCTCAGCCTTGAGAGCTCAGGACCTTGGTTCTTGACCATATAATGATGTAGCCACCACTTCTGGCTCTCTCTGGTGTCGGTGACCACTCCTCTGAGACTCAGAGAATAGATGTGTCCATGGTTGGTGCATTCTGCATGCCAATAGACATATCTGCTCTCAGACGTTTTTGTAAAATCTGTGTCAGTACGTGTGGCCTGGAGTGTTGTACAGGAGCTGGCTGGTGCTTCTTCTTTTGTGCTTATTTAGGAAATACAAGAAATATCTCCTGGGTTCCTGCATTGTACCATTGTCTGAATAATAAATGGTAAATCTAGACCCCACTTCCTCATGACCCCCGCACCCCGTAGGGAAAGACCCAATTTCCAATTCTGGATTCTTACAAGCATAGCTCAAGAAGACCATTATTGTCATCACAGCTGAGCCTGGAATCCAAGCTCTGGGAAAAATGTGCCCTCTGGGATAAAAGTCCCCTCACTTCCATGGCTCCACATTCAATGGGCTGAACACCCTCAAGAATTATTCACGGAGGAGGGTGCCATAGGCCATAGATGGTATGTATGGGTAGTGTAAGGAGGGTGTCACCTACGAAACTGAGTCCACTGGCCATTCTCGACTGTCTAGTAGCTGCAGAGGTGGATCTACATCAGGGAACTTATACTTGGTTCCCTTTTACACCAAGAAGACAGATCCACAGCAGATGAGATGAATGAGTTTTCAACTTTAATGTCATTGTTTTGGAAACCAGAACAACTGTGTCAATATGTTGTCCAGAAAGACATTGGCCCAGAAGACCCTAGAGGCCATCTGCTCCCTGAAAACGGTTCCATCTGGCAGTTTTACATACCACCTGCCCCTGACAGCCTCATCTCAAGGTGAGACACAGGATATCTAGCAAAACCTGGTTCCCAGGGCCATTTCATGACCTGGCCAGACCGGGCGGTCGTCCTGTGTTAGCATTTGTACCCATGAGCACACTCATGAGCATAGCATTTGTACCCATGAGAAACACGTGCACCAGTTAGGAGAAATGCACAGGGCTGTTCTATCAGCTCCAGAGACTTGCTTGGCCCTGGGGAGAGCTCATTAGACTTTATTTTGGATTTCCCCTAGAGCAGCTCTGTTATGACTGACAGTCTAACAAGACCCACCTCATCCTCAAAACAAGGTCTTCTCAGCCTTTTCTAGGCACAGGTGCCCTGGGAAAGCCCCCCAGTGTTCTGGTCAGCTGCCTCCCACCCACATTTCCAGGAGGAGCACCTGTGGAAAGGCAGACTCCACTCCTTCCCTGAACATCTCCTCCAGACAATGGTTGGCAGATGGGCATCAGCTTTTGCTGGAACTGTACTTCCTGTCTCATAACCACTACATCTTCATGAAGCTGCACTTTCCTTTATTCTGTTCAGCGATACTAAGAAACCTGTCAGGGACCCTCCTCTTCATAAAAGCACCTATTTGCAAACCCAAAGAAGCAGAAGCTGCTGCCCAGCAGGTGCTGGTGGAGACCAACTGCAGAAGCCACCAGGTACTCCCCTTTCATGACCAGACATGCATCACCTGGCAGTCCTAAAATCTAGGACGGTCTGGGAGACATTCCAGCTCACCATGGTAAAAGTCGTAGACACATGGAGGTTTGCAGAAATATTAGGAGTGGAGACTTAGTAAAAGGCTGCATTGTTCTTTCAAGCCTTTCCTGGCTCCAGCCCCAGCCTCCAGACTCCCTCTGCTCCTGGTGGTCTCCAGCCCTGCCTCATGGCACCCTGAGGCTCACAAGGAGACCCCAGGCTTACCACAGCTAAGAAGACATTCCTCCTCCTTTCTGAAAGCAGGTCTGATCCCACAGCCTTAGTTCTATGCTTGTGGAGGCATCCAACATGGAGCTGCCTGGTTCACTTGTCACTTCTACATCCCTTGGAGGCTGGTCAGGTTCTCTATCCTCATGCCCCCGTGGTACTGTTGCTGCAGCTGCCTCCTGCCCTGAAACTCTCTAGTCCAGAATCCCAACTACTCATCTCAGGCATAGACCTCTGGTTCTCACATGAGGGTCCCAGGTTGAAGAATCACCCCCACCATGTTATGCCACTGAGACCCTGGTAGAGGGTCTTGACAGCAGTTGTCCGGGTTCTTGGTGTTTTGAAGAAAGAATTGGACAAACACACAGCAAAGCAAGAAAAGAATGAAGCAACAATAGAACAGAAGCAGGGATGTATTGAAAATGAAAGTACACTCCACAGTGTGGGAGCAGGCCCCAGCAGTGCTTAAGAGTCCCCAGTACAGAATCTTCTCTGGTCCAAATACCCCCTGGAGATTTCCATTAACCACTTCGTGCTCACCTCATGTAAATGAGGTGGTGGCCTACGAGCAGTCTGACTGGTTGTGGAAAGCAACCAACCAGAGGCCGAAGTGATGTTACAAAGTTCACACTCCGATGCAAACATCTGATTGGTTGCAGAAAGCAACGGTTGCTTTCTGCAACCAATCAGAGGCTAAAGTGTTGTTACAAAGTTGCTCTATGCGAAGGAAGACTTGGCCCACAGACAGCAACCGATCAGAGGCTGAAGTAAAGTCACAAAGTTACACTCCTATGCAAACATTTGATTGGTTGCAAAAATCAACCAATTCATAGGTACTTTCAATTTCCTATCTGCGCTGCAGAAAAGGGACAACCAGTGTGATTGGTGGCAGAAAGCAAAGCAATTTTGCTGGGTTTGCGAAGGGAGTGGCCTCTGGACCTTTTGTTACTTAGGCACGGAAAGTGAGGATTGTCCTTGCAATTTAGTTCTAGGAAGCTGCCATGAAATGGCCTTAGATTCCCTGCCTCCAGACCCTATTTTCCTGCCTCAACCACACCAGTGAAGTCTGAACCGAAGCTGCTCTTGAATCCCATTATCTGGCTGCATCCTGTGCAGATTGAGGTGGTCCTTCCTCAATCCCTGCCTCTCCTACTTTTGAGTTTTCTAGGCTCCAGGAGCCGAGACTGCTGCTTCTGTGACAGCAAACACATTCCCTATTGCCTCTGTTCCTTGCAGCCATGGAAAATGCCCCAGGAGTTCCATTATTTCCTTATAAACAATCCAGCAAAATTTTTAGAAGTTCATGCTACTTGTTAATTTGGTACTGTCCCTTTAGTGTCTCTGACATTGTTTTCTGGATCAGAGAAACTTTGCTTTCTTCACAGAGGCCTACCTGTGATTCTCTATAAACCAGCAGAGCATGGTGCATGCTCATCTGTCTCCAACCTCATCTAACAAGAATGTCTCCCTCCTTGCTGCCAAGAGGTGCCCCAGCATGAGCATGTCTGCCCATGAAGTTCAACCCTTAAGGAATTCCCTGCCAACCTGAGGCTCATTGGTCTGGAATTCCAGGTGCTGCTCTTAGCAGCCCCTAAGCACACCCAGAGAAAAAGTTGGCACATTTATGTCAGTGCCACTCAGTGGCTTGGGCCTCCCTGCTGCCACAGCATACTGGTGTGGTCTGTGTTGGGGCCAGTGTGCCTCATGGAGACTGGAATCAGAGGACAGCTGTGCCCAACAGAGGCTCAGCTTACCAGCCCTTCAGTCCCATAAAGCTGGAGAGTCATGGGGGGTAGGAAGAGTGAGAGACAGCAAGAGAGAGAGAGAGAGAGAGAGAGAGAGAGAGAGAGCGCTACAGGTATGCAGTGGCTGATAGAAACAATGACCTTGCCCACCGGAAAAGCTGTTCTCACCAGTGTCCTGGTGCCTGGCTCATTCACTCGTAGGGGAAAAAAGGGCAGAAGTGGAGTGAGGATAGAAAGCCCCCTCCCCCAGATTTTCAAATGTACCTGGACAAGCATCCTTATACACAGCTGGAAGAAGTTCGATTCAGCAGAATGCAATTTGGAAAACATGACTCTGAAGCACCATCCCCTCTGGCCCCTGAATGCTCCCAGGACCTGGATTCCAGCGAGCATTCCTGCTCACCTCAGGACCTGGATTCCAGTGCCCCCAGGCTCCCAGCTGCCTCCCGGTCTCTGACCCGTGGTTCTCCCTGGAGTTCTGGTCCCTGGTTGTGTCCTGTGGTCCCATTCTCACACGCCCTTTGCTTCTGTTTCTTTACCTGTGACTTTATACTGATGTAGAGTGAGTCTTCTAGGTTACTTCTTGTTCTTTGAGGAATGAGGAACTAGAATCTAAATGGAAAATCTGGGCGCAGATAGAACCCCCAGCTGGAGTCACCCTGCCCTTCCATGTCTGGGTTCCAACCTCCTTCTCCTCCAATGAGAAGCCTTTGTCCTCTCAAGATTCCAGTGACTTCTCCGAAGCTCAGAGGTCTCTTCACCCCTGGCTGTTGCAAGGCGGCTCCACAGTCAAGATTCCTTCACCCCTTGCACCTAAAATGTTCGCCTTTCCTACCACACTGGCTCCAGCCTCTGGTCCCGGGGCGCGGAAAGCTCTCTCTTACCTCTGGCTGATTTCCTGGAAGGCTAAGAACACTCTCCCCAGGTTATAAGGCCAAGCATTGTCAGGACCTACCTTAGTCCAGTCCAAGCTCTCTCACTGGCCTGAGAGAAGATTCGAAGTTTCTGGCTTTCCCTCCAACCTTCCCACCCTCCAGCCCCCAGCCCCAGCCATCTCAGCAAGGAGAAGGGGCAAACATGGAGTTTCCCCCACCCCACCCCCAACTCACATGTAAACTATGCCCCCTCTTAGAAGGCAGAGCAGCTAAGGACACTTTTGTTTCAAACAAATTTGTTTACTGTTTCCATTGCACAAACTAGTGGACTCCGGGAGCTGGCCCTGCTCATCCCCTGGGCCCTCCTTCCCTGGTCCTGCAGGTGTTGCCACCTCTCAGGCCTCTCCTGCAACCCTCTGCCACATTTCAGAAAAGCTGAGAACCCCCTGGAGTGAGAAAGGAGGAGAAACACAGCATCTGCCGCCCAGCAGGAGGTTAAATAAATACTTTCACTTCTCTTTTCCCCATTTGGGCGGAGCCCTCTCTCAGTCAGTCTGTCCGCCAACTTCCTGCTTGGGGCCTGAGCAGCCACATTCCAGGCAAGCTGGGCTGACTGAGGGGCTCAGAGGCCAGGTTTTGAGGCCCAGGGAGGGCCTAGGGTGGGAAGATGGCAGGCGGGGGCAGCGACCTGAGCACCGGGTGAGTCTTGATCTCCCTTCATTTAACTTTGATCTCTGGCTATACTGCAGCTTTCATGCCTTTAGTTCTGTTTGTGCCTAAGGCTTCACTTTAGTTTGATCCTTCTTTCCAAGAAAATAGGTATGTGATGTGACATAATGAAATGAAAGAGAAGATAATGAGGAAATCAGATTTTTAAAACGGGAGCAGGACAGCTGTTGGTGTGAGTCCAGCTTGCCGTAACACACGTGACTTTCTTGTTTTGAAACTACTGCTCAGCTGGCCAGGACACCCTGAACATAGCAGTCGTTTGCGGCTGGGATTAACTGTTTCCTCATGATCTCTGGACCTTTTCACATCCCTTACCCTTCCTCTGCCTTCGCATATGTCATGTCAAAAAAAGGTGGGTTAGAAAATAGACACTCCAGGGTAAACACCTGGCTTACTTTCAAACATTGGATGCTGTGGTCTCACCTGACCTGGCGAGGGGCCTCTGTTGGCTATTCCCAGGACTGGCCCACAGTCTGAGTTCTTATACCATCAACCTTGATCAAAATAAGGAAAAGGAAGAAAACAGCCCAGGATGGCAAAAGGCTAAACCTGTTTATTTTTACTTCAATTTCCTGTCCCAAGATGGGGGATACCTCTGACCAGAAAAGAGAAGGAAATTCTATCTTTTCTCTAGTAATGAGTTTAGAAATAACATTACTTAACCTTCTGAGTTTTTTAATACAAAAGAAATACACTATACATTATTGTTCATAAAATTTAACAGTGGAGAAGTAAATTAAGGAAAAAGTTATCTTTATCACCCACCCATCCTTGTAGCTCCCTTCCCAGTCCTGTGAAGAGTCTTGGGCATAGCTTTTTTTATATTTTTCTATGCATTTATATATATATATATATATATATATATATATATATATAATGCATTTCTTGTAAATACATAATTCGTGTCGTTGTTTTGTAATAAATTACATTGCATGTGCTATTCTGCATTTTGCGTTTTTACTTATTTTAATAGTGGAAAACTGGAGACCTTTTAACCTTAATACATATAGATCTGCCTCATACTTTTTATACATGCCATTCCATAGAATTGCTGTACCATAATCATTTGTTCTCCAATTGTAGGACATTTAGGTTGTTTTAAGTTGTTCACATTGACCAATAAACTATCATATCATGATTAGATATTTCTTTTTGGGTTTTTACATGTATGCAAGTATTTATCTTGTCTCTAAACCTTAGAAAATGGAATTGTTGAGGCAAAAGATCCAGTTATATACTTGGTTTTTTTTTTCAAAATTATTTATGTTGGTACATAGCAGGTATGCATATTTATGTGGTATATGAAATATTTTGATGCAGGCATACAATGCATAATAATCCCATCAGGGTAAATGGGTTATCATCACCTCAAGTATGTATTCTTTCTTTATGTTACAAACATCCCACTTATACTCTTTTAGTTACTTTAAAATGTACAATAAACTATTGTCAACTGCAGTCACACTATTGTACCATCGAATTCTAGGTCTTCCTCGTTCTAGCTAACTGTACTTTTGCACCCATTACCATTTCTACTTCCCCTTCCTCAACTGCCCTTCCCAGTCTCTGGTTACCATCCTTCTACTCTGCATTTCTATAAGCTCAACTGTTTTGAGTTCTAGCTCCCACAAGGAAGTGAGAACATGTGAAGTTTGTCTTTCTGTGCCTGGCTTATTTCTCCAGTTCCATCCATGTTGTTGCAAATGTCAGAATCTCATTCTTTTATATGGCCAAATAGTATTCCATGTGTATATGTACCATTTTTTCTTTTTCTTTTTTTTTAAATATTTTATTGCATTTTAGGTTTTGGGGTACATGTGAAGAACATGCAAGATTGTTGCATAGACTTGTTTATAGGTCCTGCCAAATTGTCTTTCTAGGAGGCTGAATGAATGTATTTCACCAATAGCAATTGTGACGAACCATCGTCCTACGCACAGCGACAGTTTGCAAAGGTGATGAATGAAGACTTACATTTTGTTTTAATTTGTATTTTCCTTATGACGTGGACATTGAACGGCTTTTCATATTTCTTGGCCACTTAAATTCCCTTTTCTATAAATCGTTTGTTTATTTTTCGCCAATGTGATTGAGTTATTTGTCCTTTTTTTCATTATATGGGAGAATTCACTAAATATTCTGTTAAGTATAAATATACTTTTCTTGTCCATTACTTTTGTGTATGGTGACTTTTATCTTATTAAAGCTTAAAATTTTATGTATAAACTTCTTGCGATACGGATTTTTTAAGGTAGATGCACCTTCGTTATGAATGAAGTGACGCTGGCACACTCGGTGGGCAATGTCAGTCTTCACAGTTGAGCCGGTGCTAAGGTGGCAGATTCGCTGCTACCGTTACTCAAGGAAGAGTTCCTTCTCCAATATCCCTCAAAACTGTTTAAATTTTTAAACAAAAATATTCTTACATTGGAGCCACTTTGGCCCTCACAGCCTTTATTTGCCTCCTGGTACTTCCATCTTTTCAGTTTTTTTACTCTGTGTTCATGATAATTGCCTCAAACGTTCCTCCATGACAATTATTTACCTTTTAGTAGCTTTCTTGTTTCTTGTCATTTCGAATTTTTAAAAAATCGATAGCATTTATTCTTGAGGAGGGATCTTGTTTCTATACCTCTGCAAGCCCCATGACCTCCTGTTATTCAGTCTTCACAGTCTTCCTTTATTTAGGTGTGCATGTGCTGTTAAGAATTTGGGATCGTCTCCTGATTGTCTCTGAGTTATTTTTCCGACTGATTCTGTCTGATCTTGTGTTCCCTGTGCCTGCGGCGACTTTACAGCACCTCTAGCCAGGCTTGACCCTGGCAGCTCACCCCAAACTTCCCGCTTGCTTAGGCGTAATCTGGGTGACTTTTTTTTTTTACATTTCCTGTTTTATCTGAGGTCAAATTGTTTTTTAGTCTGAGCTACAGGTTGAAGTCTTTATTTTGATTCTTATCAATCTTTCTGAGGACACCATTAATTGATTAAATGATCCTTTTCCCCACTGATTCACAGTGCTACCCTTTTTGGGAGTATAGAGGCAGGGTGTGCTTCTGTGTTCTCTCTTCTCTGCCCTTGGCCTGTGACAGCCTCTCCTGATGCCAGCGCCGCACTGCCATAGTGATGGCAGCTTCCTGGGAACCCTTTACCTCTGAGGGAGCAAATCTCTTCCTGTTCCTCCAAAATGTCTTAGGCTTTCGTGTTCCCAAATTCACCTGTCAAAATGTTGAATTTTGTGTGGAACTGCACTGAATCTATAAATCAATTTGAAGGGAACGGACGTTTTTACAATATTGCGACTTTCATCTAGTGGATATGGTTTGTGTATATTATTACTTTAAAAATATTTTCTATTAAACTTTGTACTCCTGCTAGATTCCTTCATAGATATTTGATCTCTCTCTTTTTTTTTTTTTTTGAGGCGCAGTTTTGCTCTTGTTACCCAGGCTGGAGTGCAATGGCGCGATCTCGGCTCACCACAACCTCCGCCTCCTGGGTTCAGGCAATTCTCCTGCCTCAGCCTCCTGAGTAGCTGGGATTACAGGCACACGCCACCATACGCAGCTAATTTTTTGTATTTTTAGTAGAGATGGAGTTTCACCATGTTGACCAGGATGGTCTCGATCTCTTGACCTCGTGATCCACCCGCCTCGGCCTCCCAAAGTGCTGGGATTACAGGCTTGAGCCACCGCGCCTGGCCTGATCTCTTTTTTATTATTAACTATAGTAGTCCTCCCTTATCAACAGTTTTGCTTTCTGAGGTTTCAGTTACTTGTAGTAAAACTTGGTCCAAAACATTAAATGGAACATTCCAGAAATAAACAATCCATGAGTTTTAAGATACTTCCTGTTCTGAGAAGTGTGATGAAATCTCATGTTGTCCCTCTCCATCCCACCCAGTATGTGAACCATCCCTTTATCCAGGGTATCTGCAATGTAGACACTACCGGCCCATAAGTCACTGAGTAGCTGTCCTGGTGTTCAGATTGACTGTCCTGGCATTACAGAGTTTGTCTTCAAGGAACCCTTATATTTTAGTCAATAGTGGCCCCAAAACACAAGGGGACTGATGCTGGCAGTTCAGATATGCCAAAGAGAAAGGACATTTTCTGCTGGCTCTGGTTTACTAAAACTTCTTACTTTCATTTTATTATTATACTTTAAGTTCTGGGGTGCATGTGCAGAACCTGCAGGCTTGTTAGGCATATGCGTGCCATGGTGGTTTGCTGCACCCATCACCCCGTCATCTACATTAGGTATTTCTCTTAATGCTATCTCTCCCCTAGCCCCCACCTCCTGCTATCCCTCCTCTACCACCCCCTACCCACGCCAACTGACAGGCCCCCGGTATATGATGTTCCCCTCCCCAATCCCGTTACTGGGTATATAGCCAAAGGATTATAAATGATTAGATTATAAAGACACATGCACATGTATGTTTACTGTGGCACTGTTCACAATAGCAAAGACTTGGAACCAATCCAAATGCCCATTAATGATAGACTGGATAAAGAAAATGTGGCATATATACACCATGGCATTCTATGCAGCCGTAAAAAAAGGATGAGTTCATGTCCTTTGCAGGGACATGGAAACCATCATTCTCAGCAAACTGACACAAAAACAGAAAACCAAATACCGCATGTTCTCACTCATAAGTGGGTGTTGAACAATGAGAACACTAGTTATTTCTTTTAATCAGACCTGTGTATAGGATATGTATCAAAATGCCTACTACAGAATCTTTGAGAATTGTATCATTTTTCTCTTTTAATCTGTTTATCCAGAGTAAATTATATTAAAATGTTTTTATTAATTCAGTTGTTAATTTCACCAAAGTAAAACGTATATATATAGCTTAAAGTATCAGTCAATAAGCCCTTTATTTATTGATTTATTTTTTTTGAGACGGAGTCTTGCTCTTGTTACCCAGGCTGGAGTGCAATGGCGCGATCTTGGCTCACCGCAACCTCCGCCTCCTGGGTTCAGGCAATTCTCCTGCCTCAGCCTCCTGAGTAGCTGGGATTATAGGCACGCACCACCATGTCCAGCTAATTTTTTGTATTTTCAGTAGAGACAGGGTTTCACCTTGTTGACCAGGATGGTCTCGATCTCTTGACCTCCTGATCCACCCGCCTCGGCCTCCCAAAGTGCTGGGATTACAGACGAGCCACTGCGCCCCGCCCAATAAGCCCTTTAAAAACACAAGTACTTCTTTCTGCCATCTTCCCAGCCTGTGTCCAGTTTCCCACATGGATTATCTTTAAGTTTTTGGCTCTCCCTTCTGTATTTACTTCTGTAATTTGAAATGATACGCTGATACAACTCTTGGTAATTTTTCAAGTTTCAGACATTAATCTGTTCACATAATAGAACAGAAGATGTAGACTTTTTCCTTTTCATTCCCCACAGTTGGAGGTTAGTCGGTAATCAGTGTTACTGTTATGGTGATACTTAACTGTTGTTTGTAATCAAGTCATGTACTATATTATGATCACTTCGGCTTTCCTGTGCAACATCCCCCCCAAAATAAGTATTACCCTCATATATTTGCTTGGATTTTGTGTGTCCTCCTTATGAATTCTTCCCAAGCACTCTGCAGAATTCTAAAATTCTTCTCAGTACAGTGAGGCACATTGAGTAATTTATCAATTCCATTTTCCTTTCTTGGGGAAGCCCTCCTGGAATTATCCATTCCCCTGATCCCATCAGTTCTGGTTAGTTTCAGCTTCCAAGGCTGACCTTCTGAAGTCTGACATCTCTCCAGTGTTTGGTCTTGTTTTGTGGATTATATATTTTCCTCTTTCTTGCTTTACTATCTCATGTTGGTTTACCACATTATCCAATAGGCTCCTAAGAGTTCATAGAAGATATATATATATATATATATATATATATATATATATATGCATGTGTGTGTTTGTCTAGAGACTTCCTGCTTTTTCTTGACAATCTTGTATGTCTTCTTTTCTTGAATCTGCCTTCTATCATATTTTCTGAGGAGCTTCATTTCTAGTGATTAAAAAAACTTCTGCCATTATATTTTTAATTTCCAAAAGCTGTTTAAAAAAGTTGTTTATCTTTTATAGCATCTTGTTGTTGTTTCAAGAAATCCAAAATTTTCTCTCTACTGAGGAGGATGATAATTTTTAAATTTTTATGTTTCTTCCAAGGTTATTTTAAGTACTAGTTTCTTCCAAGTTTCTTTCCCAGCTCCTATTCCATTATTTGCTTGTTCTGAAATAATTCATCAAGTGTTCATTGGGTACCCATTCACATTAAGAGTAAGACCCTGAAAATCTGATTAGGAGTTCTGTTCAAGGAATGCCTTTTGTTGACTGTGCCCCGTTTTGATTTTTCATTTTCCAACTCATCTTCAGAAGGAACAGTTCCTCTAGTTCATGCCAGCTTCCCAAGTTCAAAAGTGTACACTGGCTTACTCCTTGTCAGCTTCCCTTAAACAAGTAATCAGGTTTTTTATTCTTTCATTCTGTGAAATTATCTACCATATATGCACCTATCTTCCAAAATGTTTGATTATCTCTTATTTGTCCTTTCCTTTTCTATTTCCTGGTCTTTGCTACTTTTCTGCCTCTAACTCTCTCCTACAAGTGGTTTCATGGGATTTCAGAGGGAACACAGATGAATGCAGGTCTGCCAGGATTAACCAAATGCATAGATTGGTCCTCTAATGTGACCTTTCCTGGAATTCCTGAGATAACACCTACATGGTCATGTCATATGACTCTTTCATCCACTCCTGGGTTGGATTTACTTATATTTTATTGTATTTTTACCTCATGTATTTATAAGCAACTTTTTGGCCTGCAATTTTCATTTCTTATTTTGTATTTGTCTAGTGTTGATAGCAGAACTATGGCAGCCTCATGAAATAACTGGGGGTGATTGACACTTTGACTACACACATATATGCACATATATATATTAGAATGAT